AAAAAAAAAAAAAAAAAAAAAAAAAAAAAAAAAAGAGGGTCCCATAAACTGATTGGTAAATAAGTGGACCGAAATTTAAAAATAAAAAATTAATAATAATAATAATAATAATAATAATAATAATAATAATAATAAAATTAATGTAAAAATTCAATTTAAAGTTGAACAAGATGCATATATATATATATATATTTTTTTTTGACACAAACAATAGACAAAAAAGATCAGACACAGGAAATGAAAGGCACATGGAGAAAAAAATATAATGCTAGATATGTTTCTTGACCAATGCCAGCAAAGCATGCTTTGTAAAATCTCTATCACAAAATAGGGGAAAAAAATAGTTGCAAAATAACTAGAGGAACATAAAATGTGCTTATAATCGAGGAGCTCGTGAGAGCTTGAATCAAGCATCAAATTTTCGAGTCGAGCTTGAGCCTTATAAGCTTAAGCACTCGACTAGTTGTTTGAATATATAAACATAACATTACCTAACCACGTCTAGTTAGACATATTCTTATTGAAATGTCGAGCACAGACGAAATTCGAGCTGATCTCTAGCGTTTGTGCTTTTTGTCGAGCCAATTTGGCTAGCAAAATCGAGCAGTAGTTAAAAAGAAAAGAATGAGTCTAGCTTAATAAGGTCAATGTTCGACTCGGTTCGTTTGCAACCTTACTCCCATACCATAATCATATTATCTTTTTTTTTTTCAATCAGAATATAAATATTTTTCTTATGTGTGTATGCCTCAGCCCCAAATTAGGACCATTAAACACAAATTAAATCCAGTTGTAGTTGAAGTGACAATTTTTATATTATCCACATTTCCAAGTCAAAAAAAGGATGCTTTTCAAGTTGCTGTAGAATATGGGCAACACATTAAACAGCGACATCAACGATTGCATTTCAACTTAAATTCTTTAAAAAAATATTAGAAAAAAAAAAACAAAATAATAATAACAACAACAATAAAGGTATAATAATAATTATCACAAAATATTCTCTATTATCACCCTTAACCATAAAAATAAATCAAGAAATTTGTACATGATATTTAAATCTTTGTTATAACTTCAAATAAAAATACCTCAATTTTCTGAAATTTGAGGCTCTAAAGAATATGAAAGTTTTTTCATACCCAAATTGCAAGAAACTGTAGTAAAAGAGCAAATTTTAATGCTTAAGAGAGTGCAAGGAAAGTAGAGTTACTGGCACACGAAGCCCATCGTAGCTAAGTTGTACGTCGAGGCCTTCTTTTTCCTTCAACTTTACGAGCTCGTCATTTACTTTGTCATGATCCATCAAATGCATCATACCTTAAGTTGAACCGAAAAACAAATAAAATAAATAATTGTGTACATTTTAAAAAAGAAAAGAAAATTTGGAAGAAATTATTCGGCTATTGGGTGGAAATTGCCAACTTGCTCGACTGTACATGCAGATTATGTAGAAGACTCTAGAATAATAAGCTACTCGAGAAGCTGGTTCATACCGGTGAACAGTGTTCTTTTTGGTCGGATTTTTCGAACTTCCTCCAAAGCCTGAGAAAGTTTGAATGTTTAGAGCATGTTTGTATACAAGAATTCTCACAAAACATTTCAACATTTTAACTCAACCACTTTTTTTAACTCAACTTTAACTCAACCCCACTATCATCAATATTATAAATATAATAAAATAATATCAATCAATTATTTATACACATCACATCAACCGTAATTCACTATTTATCCACTCACATTATTTTAACTAACAATCACATCAATTTTAATTATTTTATTTTAAATATTATTTTAATATACCCACTAACAATTAACCATATTACATTTTTCAAAATTAACTAAACCAAACTAAAAAATCCAACAAAACCAAAAATTTTCATCCAAACATGCTCTTACTATCTCCAGGAATATGGTAATCAGAAAATAAAATATAAAAAATAACAAAAAATTGTAATAAACCAAAACTAGGACGGACTCAAGAGTTCATGACAAATCGAAAAAGATTAATTTGAACGACCGAACCTTTGGAAGTCCAAAGTGAGTTGATGAAGATCGATCTGGTCTCAGGGCATCCTAATTACGAAAATAAATTATATAAAAAAAAATTAAGGGAGAGAGA